TGGGGAGCAGGGCGGAGCGGTGGCGAGCAGCCTGGCCTGGAGCTGCCAGGGCTGTGGAGGGGATGGTGGGGGGATTCCCCCGACCCAGATGCCTGGCTGAGGCATAGGGTGTTGGGCGGGGGGCACCAGGGAGTCCTGGGCTGGGCTGTGACCTAGTGCGGCAGGAAGCTGCGTCTCCCTGTGTGGAAAGAGGTGGGAGTGGGGCGAGGTCCCTGCCTGGGGAGGGGTGGGGCAGGAGGGTGCTGCGAGGAGAACGGGCTCTAGGAGAAGTTTACGAACCGCCTGGCGCTCCCCTGCCTTGGTGTGCTGCGCTGACTTGCTGCCCCAGTGCCTGGCTTTGCTCCCTGGGCCTCCTGCTCACCTGTGCTGTGTGGAGCAGCCCAGCCCATGTTAAGTGCCCTTCTCCTGGAGCAATCGTGGAGGGGTGGGGTGCAGGCCTGCAGGAAGCAATGGGAGGGGGGTTGCTAAACAGGGGCATCTGAATGTCACTGCTGCCCTGAAAATGCCCCCTTGTCTCTGGTCGCTCAGCAGCTCTGCTTTCCGGGCAATGCCTGCGCCCTCGCGCCCCGGCCCTGCCGCCCTGCGAGCGCCGCCTGCGCCCCTCCTGCCTCCTAAATGAATTCCGTCTCACCTGCCTCAGTGCAGTACGTCAGCCAGGACGAGCGGCACCATTCGGACGGCAGGAAGCTCTTTAACCCCAGGGCCGGGAGCCAGGACGGGGGCTGCAATGGGCTGTTTCCCGGGGGGGCGCCAAGCGGCCAGCCCAGCGAACCTGACGAGGTGGACAAGATCAAAAGCAAGCTCCTCTCGGCCTGGAACAACGTGAAATACGGTGAGCGTCCTGGGCGCCGCCCGGCTCACTGGGTGCGGGCGCTTGTCGCACTGGCCGTAGGGGCAAGGAGGCCTGCGTCCTGCTCCTGGGTGCGCCCCAGAGCTCAGTGTGCCAGCGGCGCGGAAGAGAGGGCGAGGCTGTCGCTTGGCAGCGCTGGAATGGTGGCTGCCCCAGACCACGCTGGCGCTGACTCTGCTCCTGGGCGCTGGGCTGCTTGGCCTGGGGTAGCTGTGCCTGCTGCCTGCCGGGGGGGGGGTGAGCTGCTCCGCCGGGCCATGGGTGAACTACCCCCCAAGCCGCAGCTGATAAGGGTGATGTTTACCGGTTAACCATTCGCATCCCTCATGCCTGGATGCTGCGGCAAGCCTCGGCTAATGAGCAAGCCAGGCCTTGCTGTTTGTGAGACGGCTCAGCTCTCGCTGGGTTTGACCCAAAGGCTTGTCTCAGTCCAGCCGGATCAGGGACCTCGAAACTCCAGCTCCAATCCCAGCCCCGACACCAGCTGATAAGGGTGATGTTTACCGGTTAACCATTCGCATCCCTCATGCCTGGATGCTGCGGCAAGCCTCGGCTAATGAGCAAGCCAGGCCTTGCTGTTTGTGAGACGGCTCAGCTCTCGCTGGGTTTGACCCAAAGGCTTGTCTCAGTCCAGCCGGATCAGGGACCTCGAAACTCCAGCTCCAATCCCAGCCCCGACACCGATGCCCTCTGGGGCCCAGAGCAGGTCACTTAGCCCTGTCTGGTGAAGTGCAGCAGCCATACAGCTCAGCCCCAGTCCCAGAGGGCGGTGAGGATCAATCCGGTGCCTCTGCAGCTGTGTAGCACGAGGGGTGCTCAGCGTGTCTTGCCCAGACATAGGGGTTCCCTGGGGTAACGGCTGTACGTCGCCCCGTCGTTCATGCTGTTTCTAACCAGGACAAGTCCTGTTCTGAGCAGGGAGCAGGAGCCACACCGTGTGCCCGACGCAGCTGGGGAGGGCTTCTCTCCCTGTAACTCAGTCACTTCCCGCAGGGCCACGGCTCCTCCGGCTCGCTGCTTGGCTGGAAGGTACCTGCCCCCCCCGCTGGCTATGTGTCGGCCACGGAGAGCTGACCTCAGCCGACCCTCCTGCTCCGGACAGGCACTTTATCTTGCTGATAAACTTTGCAAGGCTCCTGCTGCATCAGCACGTCGGCGCAGGGCAGGGCTGTGTCCTGCGCTCCTCTGGGTCACACGCTGGCAGCAGGGGGAGGGAGGGGGGACCTGGAGGAATCCTCTGCCTACTGGGAGGCTCTGGGCGTGCTGTGTGACTCCTGCGCCCTGGGCAGCCGGGCCAGGGGCTAGTACGAGTTCCACAGGTGGAGGCTGGTGCCGCGGGCCAGGGGGGCTCATAGGGAGCCTGCTGCAGCGAACAAGTGAGCTGAGAGGCCCCCGGCATATCCAGCGCTCTCCTGGCTGCGTCCCTGCGGCTCCGCGCTGGAGAAGGCAGGTCGGAGCAACGCCCCTTGTGTTGGGAGGGGCAAGGCCCTTCCTTCCCGGGGCGGTTTCTCCTGCATGGCCAGGCCTTAGCCCTTAGGGCAGAGAGCGCTGTTGGGCCTGGCAGGGGAGCTGAGCCCCTTGTAGCTAAGGACAGAGACCGTGGTCTGTCTGGGAAGCTAGTGCAGAGCATGGAGACGTGGCCCAGTGCTGCAGTGGACGTGGGCTGCTCTCGCCGCTCCAGCAGGGGCCTTCCCAGGCGAGGTTCTGCACACGCCCCTTTCACCTCCCCAAAGGGCTGGAGCCAGGAACTCGTGGGCGGGCCGTGGCGTGGCCCTGAGGGCCGGAGCGGAGCATTCCGGAGGGCTGGCTGGGGTTTGACTGGCGAGCCTGGAATCAGTGGCTTTCTGTGCCCCAGGATGCTGCTTTTGTCTCCTTTGCGTGGCACCACGAGCACAGCCACGGGGACGTGGGCCCGGGCAGCCCTGTCTGGGATCCCTCCCAAGCTGCGTACGTGGCGCCCGTCGGATCAGGCGCAGTTGAGGGCGTGGTGGTGAGGACAGGAGCACGTGGCCAGTGAGGGCGGCCCAGCCACGGCCTGGCTGTGGGGACGCAGCGGGGGGTTGCACGGGCTGCAGGAGGAAGGGGCTGGTTATCTGGGAGTCAGGGCCTGGGAATGGGAGCGAGGGCAGACGGGAGGGTGCTCAATTCTCTCTGCCTCTCCCCTCCCAGGGTGGACGGTCAAGACCAAGTCCAGCTTCAGCAAGCTGTCCCCTGTGTATCTCTTCGGCCACGTCTATCGCTTCGAGGTGGAGGGTGAGTCGCCGGGTTAGCACTCAGCTCGGCCTCCATCCCAGCTTGCCAGGCGCCTGCCCTGCCGGAGCCTGGGGCTTCTCCGTGCACCCTGTCCCAGCTGGGAATGCAGCGCTGGCCAGGAGGGGGGCTTGGCGAACTCCCGGGCGTGGGGGGCGGGGAAAAGCCTTGGGGCTGGGGAACAATGAGCCGGTCCGCTTTCCTGGCTGGCGACGGCTGTGTGTGTCGATTCAAGCTAAGCAGAGCGCAGGTCGGGGGAACCCAAACGCCTCCTGCAGCAGCTCGGCCCTGCCGCCCGCTTCGGAGAGGGGAGAAGTGTCAGACTCCCCTGTTGGATGAAACGCTTCCCACCCACCGGATGTGGGATCCCCCCGTGGCCCTGGCACGCACCTGGGAGCCCTGGTGGGTGGGGAATGGGGCTGTGACAGCCAGGCCCCCTTCTGTGTCGTGTCTGAGGGGTCCTGTTGGGGGGGCAGCGCCTTCCCCCAGCCAG